TGGGCTTTACCTGCCCCCCGCCCTCCTGAGCCCCCCTCGCTCCCTGTCCAACACGCTTAACAAGCCGCCAGTTTGCTGGGAAGGAAATAAAAATGTATGCAATTAAAAAGCTGGTAGCCACAACCAGAGAGGGTCAGTGGTTCACGCGCTAATGCAAGCAGATTTTGCTATGATTCATTAAGTCATTAACCCTCTTTTAATTTCAGCTCCTTTATGGAGGATGCCATTTTACCTCTGCAGAGAAAATGGGAGTTGGGAGTGAAGGGAGGACGGGTGAGACCCCCTCGCAGCATGCAAGGTACCCCCACATGCCAGGGGAGCCCCCAGATCCCCCTGGGGTCGTGGTTTGGGGCAGGAGACCAGAGCACCCCATTTACTTTGCAGATGTATTGGAAGCCAGGGGAAGGGGATGGGGACCAGTTGAAGGATGCAGAGAAGATAAAAGAGCTGTGGATTTTGGGAGGCCAAGGTCTCCCTGGCCCAGCCCCAGCCTCCTCGGAGCTGCTGGTCGGCAATTACCGGCCATTACAGCCTTCCCGGCCGCGGCGCAGGGCTTAATGCAGCCGGTTTCAGCTGGCTGCTCGGTTCCACTGAGAAGGAAACTTTGTTAAGTGGTGATAGCCATCGAGGAGAGCCAAGAAACCCTGGTCCCGGCGCCCGTGGCACTGCTCGGACCCCGGGCGGCAGAGAGCTGGGATGCTCTGGCTCCGGCTCACCGGGCGTTGCGGAGCCCAGCGCGGGTGGCTGCAGCTCGCTGCTGCACCAAACTCAACCCCAGATTATTCCTTGATGGAGTTAGGGATAATAGCAGTTCTCTCTAAATCATCCAGGATTTTCCATTCTTAAAGCCATGGCTGAGCCCCACGCCTGCCCAGGGGCCCCAGCCCAGCCCGGCCGCCCACCCGGGGGGAGGTTTCTTCCCCAGGGTGAGTCAGGTGAAGTTGCCCGAATGAAAGACAGGCTCAATTTTAAAATAGATTAATTAAACTGCATTATGGGCCTGTGTGGACAGAGTTCAGAATGAAAACAGCCTTAATTCGATTTCTCTGACTTGCAAATCGCGGCAGGGAAGTCTGCTGAAATCACATTAAGGCCGTTTCCACTCTGAACCGTGTCCTCGCAGGGGTTTAATGCAGTTTAACTAATTTGATTTAAATGTTTATTGAGACTAACTGGGTTACGAGCTAGGCGCGGGGCTGGAACCGCCAGGGCTCAGGCTGGGACCCCCAGGCGGGTGGGAACAGGGCGGCAGCATCGGCCCCGTCCCACCATGGATGAACCAAACCAATGGTTTGGGTTGGAAAAACCTCATTTCTGCCAAAAGCCTTTCTCCTCTCGGGTGGCTCTGCCACCACACCCCTGCAGATCAACGCCTGCCTTCATGGCCCTGTGTCCCCGGGGTCACCAAGCGCTCGGATTCTCCACAGTTTGCAAACTCATGCCATAAATTTTTTGGGGGCACCGCCAGCCAGGGACGCCCGGTTGCGGAGGGCTGGAGAAGAGGAGGCTTTTTGT